CTCTCAATTTTTAACTCTAGAGGCTAAGTTAGTATAGTTGCACATTGCAGGGAGTTCACAAAGCCTTTCAAAAATTTTAAAAGTTTGTCAAAAGATTCAATTTTTAGACCCTTTTCCTGGAACGTTAAGCTGACAAGGAAAAATAAAACCACCCTTCATATGCACAGGTTCTAAAGTTGCTTTGTATCAGGAAAACGAATATTCAGAGAATATGGAAGGGTAAAGATGTACTCCTCCTGAACTCCTATTGCCTCATCAGTAAAAATGAGAGCATTGGAAGTCAATCTGGTGTTCCATCCACCTCTAAAATTCTAGGGCACCATAGTTATTTTGTATCTTTCCCAAGATACCGTGGGCCCAGGTTGAAGGCCGTAGAGAAAAGAAAGGAATTACTCCTTGGCCAAGGTACTTGCTATTTGGTCAGCAAATGAATAATCACCTTAGTCCAACAGATCTTCATGACTTTATCTCTAGACCTCAGTTTCCTTCTAGTGCCTGGGATTAAGGAGTGCTAGAGTGGGAGTCTCAAAGATGAAAGGGACTCATACCCTTGAGAGCACTCTATTTATTCTTTGAACTTTCACCCTCTCCCTCCTCCGTTCAACAAATCATTTATGCCCAGACTATCAGAGGTTATAAAGATTACCAGAGAGATGATCTGCTTCTCTATTTCTCCATTACTAGCCGGAAGCCACTTATTGTGCAGATGTCTCCAATACTGCGTGCTAAAGCAGGTGAAGTGAGTGAAATCAGGTGTAATGTTTCGACTCAACTGAGAGAAGCCGTGCCAGTGAGTATAGGACAGACTTCGTACAACTTCGGGGCGTGGGGGGGGGTGATGAAAGAAGAATGAAGGAAAGGAAGAAAAAAGGAGAATTCAAAGGAAGAATGAACATTTGTAGGGAGAGAAAAAAGAGAAGGCAGAGGTAAATCTCAGAAGTCAAAGGAATAGGAATGAAGAGTCCAGACATCCATGCCAGAGAGACTGAGTGAGCCTCATGGTCACTGATGAAGGGAGTACCCTAAAGAGAAAGCCATCACACTTTGTCACACCATGAAGGTGGAAGTAGATGATGTGAAAGGTAGAGGGACATGAATTGGGGTGGGGGAGGATACAAAATGTTTTTTTGAGTAGAAGGACTTTCTTTTCAGAGAAATGCTTATCCCACCCAAAGATACTAGCAACCCAGCTTTCCTCTTTCTTCCTTCCTAGGCATAGGGACACACCAACAACCACAACCAAACACACTGATGCCTAAAGTAGTATGGAAAAAACTAAATTGGGCCAAAATTTTCTATGGACACCTTCCCCTGTGTAAGACATTTCCCCTGTCCTTGATATCTTGAAAGATACCTCAGTACTGTGTGTTACTATCATAAACTACCCATCTCTCACTGACAATTACTTCTTTTCTGTATTCTTTCACCTCAGGGATTTTTCTCTGTGTTGTTGCTTAGTTGTTTCAGTGGTTTCTGATTCTTCATGACCCCATTTGGAATTTTCTTGGTAAAGATATTAGAGTGGTTTTTTACCATTTCCTTCTCCAGCTCATTTTACAGATGAGGAAACTGAGGCAAACAGGGTTATGTGACTTGCCTAGGATCACTCAGCTAGTGAGTGTCTGAGGGCAGATTTTAATTTAGGAAGGTGAGTCTTCCTAACTCCAGGCCCAGTATTCTATTCACTGTGCCACCTAGCTGCCCCAATAAAAGATAGTCTAGAGCACTCCTCTGATAACATGAACATCTAACAGTGGACTTCCAGAGGTTACTTCTAGTAACTTTGGGTCTAATGCAAATGAGTGAAGAGCACTGGATTTGGAGTCAGAGGATATGCAAGGTTCAAAGCCTGGTTTTGATACTTAGCACCTCTGTGGATATGTGCATGTATGTGTGGATGTGTGCATGTGTATATGCATGTGTGTGCATGTATGTGTGGATGTGTGCATGTATGTATGCATGTGTGCATGTATGTGTGGGTGTGTGTCTGTGTTAGAGAGAGAAAGAAAGAGACAGAGACAGAAAGAACTTTAGGAAGTTACTTAACCTCTCTAGTCCTAATTTTCCTTATTTGTAAAATGAGAGATTTGGCCTTTAAATTCTCATCTAAATCAACTTGGAAAGACTGAGTGACTCTGATCAACAAGATGATCCAACACAGTTCCAAAGGACCCATGTTATTAAATACTATTCACCTCCAGACAGAGAGCCAATAAACTCATAATGCAGACTGAACCATATTTTTTTTCTCTTTCTTTCTCTTGCTTTTTATTTTTTCCGGATACGACTAATGCAGAAATTTGTCTTGCATGATTTCATATTTGTGATGAGTTTGTATTTACTTCCTTCTTAATGAGTAGGGGAGGAATGGGGCAGGGGGGATTTGTACCTTGTAAATAAAATAAAATTGAATTAAAAAAATAAATTTTCACCCAGCTCTCTTCCCATCAAAGCTCCCATCTAGAGACAGAGAGATGATGCAAAGGCAGCTAGGTCATCCAGCAGATAGAACACTGGGCCTAGAGTCAGGAAGACCCAAATTCAAATCTGGCTTTGGACTAGCTATGAGACCCTGGGCAAGTCATTTAATCTCTGATTGCCTCAGCTTCTTCAACTGAAAAATAGGAACCATAATAGCACCTATTTCTCAAGGTTGTTGTGAGGATCAAATGAAATAATTTTTGGAAAAGTGCTTAGCACCATGTCTGGAACATAGTAGGTGCTATAAACCCTATGAGTCTAATTCTAGTGGGAATTTTGGGCCTAGTAGAAAGGAAAAGAGGTTTCACTGAAGATAAATCAAATTCCTGATATGTACCAGAGGAGTTCCCCTACTTACATGACTCCTTTATGGATGTCTGTTCATCCCCTTACCTCCCTTCACGGACTGCCAGACTGCCTATTTTCAGAACCATTCATTCTTCTTCTCACCTCTGTCTTCCTAGTTACCACAATAGTCATGCATTCTCCCCACCTCTTTCTTCCCAGATAAAGTTCTATATTGTGACTGACTCAAAAGAAAAGTGTTCTGAATTTATCGAATACAAGGCCTGTATATACCCAGGGGACAATGCAAGGAATTTCTACTGGAACATACGCTGTCAAAGTAAGAGAAGATTCATAGAGGCTGGGTCAGACAAAAGGACAGGCAAAGGGAATCTGAGGCAGAGGGCTACCCAAAAAGGGAAGGGCAAAGGCAGTGGATGTCTCAAGGAAGGAGAATGAGCATAGATTGGTAAAAGAGGAGAATAGCAGTGGCAACAGAGCAACAAGAGGGCTGAAATGGCTCAATTACAGAGTTTGCACATGAATTCTCAAAGCTGTGTGGGTGGGTGGGATTGGAGATACCCAAAGAGTGTGAGCTATTTTGGGAAAACTGTGTTTGGGAATGGCTACATGCAGAGACTGACAAAAGTGTTTAATAAATGTATTTTGTATGAATGAATAAATGATATCTCTAAAAGGCATATAGTAAGTTGGGTTTTGACTGAAAGATGTTTCTAAAAGTTATCAAACACCATCTCTCCCTCACTTCTCCCAGGTACTGTAACAGTAGCCTGCGTGGCTGACGCTATCGATGATGCTGAAGTCTGTGATCCATACATCAGTACTGTGCCTACAACTGGCAAACGAGGTTATCAAATCAGAACATTCACTGTAAGGAACTGAACTGGAATCCTGTTCTCCCACTCTCCGGCTGGTCACTCTATGGAGAGATGCCTTGGGGATGACCATCTGAGACCTACGTGGTCTGTGAAATAAACACCCTATAAACTTCTCTGCAAGTCTGTGTTATTCAAATTATGTTTTGTTTGCTTTCTCCCCACAATACCTACACCTTAAAATAAAGTTGATTGATCTCAAGAATGTTTTCCTTTCTCATAATACTATGGATTTCTAGAATCTTCTCTTTTAAAAATACTTTCATAGCTAGGTGCAGTGGCCTATCTCTGTTTTCCTTGCAGCTAGGAAGACCGAGGCTGGAGGATCTCTTGAGCTCCTGGGTTCTAAGCTTCAGTGAGCTAAGCAGATGGAATTGGCCCAGGTCAGAAAAATGGAGCAAATTAAAGTTCCCATGTTGATTGGTATTAGAACCAGGCCAATATACTTTCAGCCTGGGCAAGATAAATACAGCTAATCTAAAGAAAGGAAAAGAAAGAGGAAAGAAGAGAAGAGAGGAAAGGAGAAGGTGAGAGGAGGAGAGGGGAGAAGAGGGAGAGGAAAGAGAGAGGGAGAAGGAGACAGGAAGGGGAAGAGAAAGGACAGGGGGAGGGAGAGAGAGAGACAGAGAGATGGAGAGAGAGACAGAGAGAGAGACAGAGAGAGAGAGATGGAGACAGAGAGAGATAGAGAGAGAATAAGCTTGGGAGAGTATCTACCTTTTAGCTCTACATAAGCAATCTTTTCTCCACAAAGACCATGCATTTGTTTTACTATACTGTAATTATCTCTGCATTGACAATGTCTCAGTATTACAAAGAGTACATACTTGTTTTACTGTACTCTTCTGTCTAAATAGTTTCTTAGTACTACCTAGCAAATGTTTGTTATTGTCATGTCTGCCTCTACTTAGCGATCTATCTGAACATCTATATTGATATATTTGATCCAGAATTAGGATTTCATTAATACAGGGAGCTCCCAGGATGGAAGCTCCCTCCAGCAATACAGATCAGTAACAATAATAGCTAGCATTTATAAAATTTTTAAGGTTTTCAAGGTATTTTCCAAATATCTCATTTTATCCTCACAATAACCCTGGAAGATAGGTCCTTTTACTATCACTTTACAAATGAGGAAACTGAGGCAGACAGAAATTAAGTGACTTGACCTCCTCTAACTCTTTACCTTTCCCTTTTTTCCCTCTTTCCTCCTCTCTCTTCCCTCCCCTCCTCTCCTTTCCCTTCTCATGTCTCCTCCCTCTGCCCCTCTCCCCATCCCCATCCTTTCCTCCATCCTTTCTCCTTCCTCCCTTCCCCAGCCTAGACAATGCTGTGGTGGAGATGGCCGAAGAGGCCATGGAGCCCACCAAGGCAGCTATCATGGGGCTGTGCCATGACATGTTCTCCAAAATGGCCATGTACCCGACAGGCAAGCTGACAACTACCAGTAAAGACTATAAACTTCTGGAAAATATGAACAAATTGACTAGCTTGAAGTATCTAGAAATGAAAGATAATGAAGTAAACATAAGTAGAAACCTAAAGGACTTAAACCAGAAATCTGCAGCACTTCAGCCTTATCTGGATCAGGTCACTTTAACTGAGGAGCAAGCAGCAGCTCTGGAACAGGCAGCTTACAAGGTAGATGCATATTCAAAGAAACCAGAAGCAAAGTACAAGAAATTAGAGAGGCAATGAAAGAATTCTTTAGCACAAAGAATTCTTTAACTCCAAGAATGTTTCATTAGAATTGAAATAAGTGGGATAGAACTTATCACTATGCTTCAATTCCTAAAAGGAAGCGGTGCTGCTAAGGCAAGGAGAATCCCAGTCCCCACCTCTGGTTGGATGTGTAACTCTGGCCACCCCTTGATGTTTCCTAAACTTGTAGCCCCTAGAACCTCATTTTATCTTGTGCTTCATTGTGTGGCCTGGACCAAGGCTCAGAAATCAGGTTCGACCCCATTTAGAGCAGACACAGAGGAGAAGCTCTCCTCTCCCTGTCTCCTCCCTTCTTCCCTCTGCCCTAGGGTTCCACCTTGGACTCTCTGTTATGAATAGCCCCCACCCCCTTCATAACCTGTTCTCAACTTAAATAATAAATGCTGACTTATGACCCTCAAAAAAAAAAAGAAATTAAGCAACTTGCCCAGGTCGCCAGTAAGTGTCTAAGGCCAGATTTGAACTCAGAAAGATGAGTCTTACTGACTCCAGGCCCAGCACTCTATGCACTGCATAAACTAGAAAGTTGCCTGGGGGGCACTGAGACATGATCACCCACCTAGCAAATGTCAGAAGAACTTGAACCTAGCTCAGATTTGATTCTAAGGTCAATCTTCTATCCACTACACCACACTGCCTGTCATTTTTTAAAATGTTTATATCTATATATATATTCAGGTCTATAATACATGCTTGGGGACTTGAATCAATTAGTCATCTTAATAAATATTAAGCACCAGCTATGATGTGGAGAAGGACCCCTACCTCACATATCTCAAGGGGATGGTACATATGTAATAAGCAAATTATGATAATCTAAACTATTACATTCAACATTTCCTAGCATTGAATGAAGTGAGCAGAACCAGGAAAACATTGTACATAATAACAGCAACATTGTGCAATGATCATCTTTGATAGAATTAGCTCTTCTCAACAATACAATGATCTAAAACAATTCCAAAAGACTTATGATGGAAAATGTTATCCACATCCAGAGAAAGAACTATGGAGTCTGAATGCAGATCTAAGCATACTATTTTCACTTTTTTTTCTTTCCTCTGGTTTTTCTCTTCTTGTCCTAATTTTTTTCACAACATGACTAATACGGAAATATGTTTAATATGATTGTATATGTATAGCCTATATCAGATTGCTTGCTGTCTTGGGGAGGGAAAGAGGGGAGGAAGGAGGGAGAAAAAATTTGGAACTCAATCTTATAAAAGTGAAAGTTGAAAACTATCTTTATATATAATTGAAAAAAAAAACAAGATACTATTAAGTGAGGGGAAAAAACCATTTCCTAACATCACTCAGTTTCAGCTGAAATGATCCTCTCCTCCCAAGATCCTTTGTGCCTAGATCCCATAAGACCTTTTCCCCCAAAGTCCAGCTCTCTGTTCTAGTCCCCATTAGCCTATTGTGGAGTGGTGCTACTTTCTTTTTTCCCCTCTTCCGTCCCCTCTGCTTTGCCCTTTTGTCTGTCCTTTGTGCTGTCCTCTGCTGACTTCTCCTACATAGTGCTTTCTTTTTTTTTTTTCCTGAAAAGGACATACTGTTGTTCCTTCTGGGTGCTCTAGGAGAAGTAGAGGAAAGCTCAAGGCCCACTCCTAATCTAGCCCAGGGTTACACCTCTTTCCTTTCGAATTTGTAACTCTAGGAACAAGATTCCAGTCTGTTGTACAGGTTCATCTCCCTAGACATCTGTACAGACACAAGAAGATTATCTCAGGAAAAAGACCTTCATGATAGATCTTCTCTTAATGGAAGCTCAGTCCCAGCACCCACCACTTATCCAGTTACATGAAAGCACATGGCACCAATCTTCTTCCAAGACAGGTTGAATAAAACTCATCTCAACTCTGTTGGTAGCCTAAGTCTTGGACTTCCCGGAAGAAAATCATGTTTTAACAAGATTCCAAATCAAGTAGCCCCATAGCTATTTGACAATTCATCCCACATTATACCCTCTTATGAGCCATTTCTACTTGTTGATATTGTTTGGGCATACCTTCCAGAAGAAAACCCAATAGATCCCTGTGATAGGACCAATATCTACCGGTGTCGTCCTCTCCCCACCCCATCCCTAAAAGGCAACAAATCTGGGACTTCATTCACTCTGGGGTGGGGCAAGGCTCAACTGTGTCTCCTTTGACATAGCTTCCTGGTAGCCTCTGACTGTATTGACGTGACTTCCAGGTCACCTAAGGGCATAAAAAGACCCATCTATGTGAGCACCCTTCATGTTTGATGGATGCCCTAAGACCACTTGATTGATCATTCCCTGGCCTACATATGCAGGTGACAGAGGCCATATCTATTGAACCTAAGTGCTACTGTATCCTTGCTGAAAAATATTGCTGTGATAAGGCTAAGAAAATCTCCTTTTGTCATCTGTTCAATGAACTCTGACTGACTACTTCATTTCTTCCAAATATCAAACCTGAGCTAACAAATAGGGTGCTGGTCTGAGTCAGGTATGACCCTAACATTTTATTTACTTTCCTCAGCCACTGAGAACAAATATTTTTAAGCCAGATTTTATTTTATTTTTATGAAGATTCACCTTCTGTCTCTCCCATGCTATCCTGTCCCAATGAGATAGCAAGAAAAACAAAACTCATATTCAAACTTATATAATCAAGGAAAACAAATTCTCCAATTGGCCATGTCCAGGTTAGTACGTCTCATTCTGTACTCTGAGTCCGTCACTTCTCTATCAGGAAGTGGGTAGCATGTTTCTTCATGAGTCCTCTAGAATTATAGTTGGTCATTGTATTGATCAGAGTTCTTAAGTCTATCAAAGTTCTTTGTCTTTACAATATTATTGTTTGTATATACATTGTTTTCCTGGTTCTTCTCACTTAGTGCTGCATCAGTTAATATGAGTTTATATATAAGTTTAGATGAGTCCTCCCGGGTTTCTGTGAAATGATCCCCTTCATCATTTCTTACAGCACAATAGTGTTCCCTGACACATATATGTACATATTTATATAAAATATATATGTATATATATATACATAATAGATATGTAAACTTGTTCTAACATTTCCTAATTGATGAACAACTGCATAGAATTATTCAAACCATATATAATGGATCTATGATTCTTATCAGTCCTTAGATCATGAACTCTCCCATGCCTAGAGTGCTATTGATCGGCTTGGGGTAGAGCTGACAAAAGTTCACAGTCTTCTTTTAGACTGAGTCTTACAGCACAAATGGCTGAGTAAAATGGCACTGTGATTGTCAGAGAAAATAACCAATAATGAGAAATTTATGTATGACTTAGATAAGCCATAGGTATGCGTTACATAGAGGTTAAGTAACTTTCGTAGGGTCACACAGTTAATAAGGCTCATGAGCAGGATTTGAACCCATATCTTCCTTTCTCCAAGCCCAGCATCCTATCTATATGCACTATGGCACACTGTCTCTACATTCTCTCTTTCACTTAATTCACACTGAGTTCACTCTCTGTGCTGCCTACAACGTTTATTTCCTTTAGAGGTCAAATCACCAAACATTTGTCTTTCCCTAACTGCTATCCTCTTCTCCTCCAATCTAAACATTTGTCTCCCTTATTTTTTATTGGTTTCTAAACTCAGGACCATTTTGCTTATAGGAGACAGAAATCTCTCTGTTTATTAATAAATCTAATACATGACACAAAATTTCACATTCTAAAACTATTTGCAATATTTCAATTGCCCCATGATACCACTGACACGGTCATCTCAACTGATTTGTACCTTCTTACCATATGGTAATCTTATGTCCTCTCAAAAATCGTCCATAAAAGATCTACCCACTTTCTTCTAGGTCCTTTAACATCTCATGGATGCCAGTCCAGCTCTGAATTTTTGTGAGGAACAAAGGAGATAACATATGTAAAGTACTTTGTAAGCCTGCCATGTACATGATAGCTCTTATTATTTTCATTATCATTATCTACTCAGGAATTAATATACTTCCAAAGAACCATTCTGCTTGTCAAAGATACATTCAATTAAATATGAGTCCAGATAGAGGAGTCTTACATATCCAGTAGCACAACTAAATTTAAATCCCGTGAAAACTGAAAACACCTGATCTACTTTTTCAACCTTACATTTTTGGCTTGCCATCATAACTATTGCATAGAAAACCACTAAACACTTTCCTTGATAAACTCTTAAGATGATCCACCCATACAAAGCCATTTTGGGGAAGGATGACAGCCTGGATGGATGTGGGGAACTGTTGCTTGCCTCATTCACTTTGGGCTCAAACGCTCTAATCTTTAATAATCCTGACTTTTACCTTCGAAAGCCTGAATCTGACCAACTTCTAACTCAACAAGCATCCTTCCACCAATGGTTTGATGGGAGTGAGAGTTGGAAGAAGGCATTATTTCTATAGACTGAAAATTAATTAGACAAAATAATTGTTCACCTCTTTTTATGTTGGAACTTTAGGTTTGAGCAAATTCAGAGCAAATGGCATTGAGTTTGGGGTATTCTAGAAGCTCTGATGTGGTGTTTGGTTTATACACCTCTGGTACAGTTTTTTAAAAAGCTCTTCTCCACCAACCTTGACCACCTGGATGTCCCTCTACACCCTGGGCCTGCTCTCCTGAATGGCAAGTCACTGGCTGGGATTTCATGAGGGTCCCCAACCATGCCTCCTCACTCCTAGTTCAGTTTGCTCTCTGGATTGCTCCACATTCTCATCAGCAGCTTTCCCCTCTTGAGTAATACACTCATTTATCTATCTATCTATCTATCTATCTATCTATCTATGTGATAGAAACCACAAAGTCATTTTGAACTCATAGACCACATCTCTCTATACCAAGGGTACAGGTAAATATACACATAAACAGATATAGATAGATTTATACATAGATAATAGATAGACAGATAGATATAGATATAGATAGATATACACATATAGATTTGTATATACAACCATTCACCCCCTAATAAGATGTC